GTCAGCAACAGCAGCAGCAACAGCAGCCGCCGGCCGCACCCGCAGCAGCGGCCCACCATCCTCGCCACCCAGCCCACCACCGCCCGCCCTGCTGGCACCAGAGCCCACCACCCGCTCCAGCAGCCCCCGCCGCTCCGTGTAATGCGCCAGCTGCAGCAGCTGCAGCGTACTGCCTGTGTGCGCATTCACCACTGCAATACTTCCATCTTTACTACCACTCACCACACAATCACCCAGCCAGCTCGGCGGCCGGAATGCACTACTCACACTACTGCCGCACTCACTGCCGCCATTACTCGCCGACATGCCGCTGCTGCTGCCCACCATCCCTGGATCCCAGCACGTCACACAAGTGACACCTCCAGCAGCACTAGATCCACTAGTTCCACCTCCAGATCCTGTATGCGGCTTCACTGACCACAGCGGCCGAGCATCAGACAGCAGCCTCACATCAAAGCCCCTTAGCTCCCCCAAATCATCTCCCACCACAAGCACAGCACCAGGGCCGGCCCCAGAGGCACCAGCTGCGCCAGGTACCAGGGTGAGGGCGGCGGGCGTGGCGCCGCGCGCGCTGAGCAGCATGGCGGCGCAGGCGGAAGAAGGGGGCGCGAGCGTGTCGACGAGCACCACTGCGCCACCCTTGTCATTCACGCCGCCGACAATGACCTGCAGACAGAGAGTTTGCATGTGGCATGTAAGCATGTAAGCATCCTGAGCACCTTCAATTGAAATGGGCTGTGCGCAAGACAGTAAGTAGTAGGATCCAGAAGTGATGCACAGTAGGAAGGTTGTGTGCAAACAATGAGCAGAGAGCAGGGGCATGGGTGCACGCAGGCTGCCTCAGGCCAGGTACAGCGCATGCTCAACTAACGCTCACCACCCAGGAACATTCAGCGCAAATCTCATATACAGCAGATCAAGTTGAGGAAAGCCTGCCATGGCACACCATGCCAACGACTTCAGCCATTTAATCAGCGGACCCCGCCCCACCCCGACTCTCTCAAGGCACATCGTCATCCACCAGCATCCACACCAGACAGCCACCCACCTGGCTGCCGGTGTCCCCCAGGAACGTCAGCGCAGTGCCGGCCTTGCTCAGGCAGTGCCCCAGCCACTCAGCATGCCCCAGGCCGTCCACGGCACTAATAAAATCTTGCCGCCACAGGCCCACCAGCCCGCCGCAGCCCACCGCCCCAAAGCGGCCGCCGCTGCGGCTGAAGCGCAGCGCAGCCGGGCTGCCCCAGTGCGGCGTGGCTACAGCTTCGTGTAACGCCAGGCGCTTCGGGGCCGCCTGCAGCTGCAAAAACGAAAACAACAGTGCATTGCAGACAGGTGTTGAGTCGTTTCGCCAAGGTGAGAGGGGCTGCCCCAGTGGGGTGTGGCAACGGCTTCGTGCAGGGCCAGGCGCTTCGGGGCGGCCTGCAGCTGCATGCGTGGAAGCGGATGCAGAGACAGCACAGAGCACAGAGGTAAGTTGGAAGGATGCGAAAAGCTGATCCAATGCACAGTGGCCACGGCTTCATATAACGCCAGGCGCTTGGGGGCGGCCTGCAGCTGCATGCATGAAAGCGGTTGCAGAAACAGCAGAGGTAAGTAGAATGTGAGAGGAGCTGCCCCAGTGGGGCGTGGCCACGGCTTCGTGTAACGCCAGGCGCTTGGGGGCGGCCTGCAGCTGCATGCGTGGAAGCGGTTGCAAAAACAATGCAGTGCACAGAGGTCAGCAGGGGGGGGGGGGGGGATGATTGGAGCTGCCCCAGTGCGGCGTGGCCACGGCCTCATGCAGGGCCAGGCGCTTTGGGGCCGCCTGCAGCTGCATGCATGAAAGCGGTTGCAGACAGGTGTTTAGTCGTATCGCCATGGTGAGAGGGGCTGCCCCAGTGGGGCGTGGCCACGGCTTCGTGCAGGGCCAGGCGCTTCGGGGCAGCCTGCAGCTGCAAAAGCGGAAACAACAGTGCATTGCAGACAGGTGTTTAGTGATAACGCAAGGTGAGAGGCTCTGCCCCAGTGCGGCGTGGCCACGGCTTCATGTAACGCAAGGCGCTTCGGGGCCACCTGCAGCTGCATGCATGGAAGCGGATGCAGAAACAATGCAGTGCACAGAGGTCAGTAGAGGGAGGATGATTGGGGCTGCCCCAGTGGCCATGGCTTCATGTGATGCCAGGTGCTTCGGGGCCGCCTGCAGCTGCACACATGACATGCATTGAAGGAGCAGCGCAGTGCACAGGGTTGGGTGGTGAGCAGCTGAGAGGGGCTGCCCCAGTGGGGCGTGGCCACGGCTTCGTGCAGGGCCAGGCGCTTCGGGGCGGCCTGCAGCTGCATGCACAGAGACAGCAGCACATTTCAGCGTGTCTGGTAGCCTTACACAAACCCCATGTGTGCAATCATACTCAGAACGCAAACACACAAACTGCGCCCCCAATAGTTCCATGCACGCGCACAGTCTGCCCCAGCGCCCCAGCAGCCGCACACCTGGGCACATAGGCCGCCCTGCACACCACGCACATACACACACGCAAACATGCTGCTGCTGCACAGCCATCAGCCGCACCTGTGTAGCTGTGCTGGGCACGTAAGCCGCCTTGCACACCGCCTCGCCAAACTGCCACAGGTAAATGCGCCCCGTGCTGCTGCCGCTGGCATACAGCGGCCGCGTCGGGTGCGCTGCCAGCGCTGCTGCCTGCACATGAGCCATGCCTGCGCTGCCAAAGCTGTGGCTGCGTCGGTTTGGGAACTCCCCCACTACCCACGGGTCCTGTGGCCATCGCAGCTGCTCAAGCATCTGAGACATGAAACCTGAGAGGCTCGAAGACCCAGCAGCACCAGATGCAGCGGCGAGAGGGTTTGCGGCTGCAGCGCCTTGCAGACCTGTTGGCGAGCTTGAGCTGGTTTGAGCTGGCAGCGGCGCCTGCTGCTGCTGCCGCCGGCGCTGAGGGGATAAGCTGATGGTGGCGTTCAAGTGGCTGAGTAAGTTTGCGGGCGCACACAACTCCCCAGGTAAGATGCCTGCCTGCTTGGAGGCGAAGACTAGCGGGCGAGGCCGCCCGGCAGCTGCTGCGCTGCCAGGCTGGTGCATTCCTGGCTGGTGCTGCTGCTGCTGCTGCTGGCGTGGGCTGGTAGCAGCAGCAGCAGCCGCCTTGTGTGTATGTAGCACCATGCAGGAGTACTGTGTCCCCACACAGGGTGCTACTGCCCGCAGCTTATCTCCTTCTAGCCTGGCCAGCTCCCAAGACAGACCCAGCACACAGTGCTGCTGCTGCTGCTGTTGCTTGCTGCTGCCGGCAGTGCTGGCTGTTGCTGGCTGTTTGGCGTGCTGTGTGCTGCCTGGTGCCACTGCGTGTGGTGCTGCTGCTGACGCTCCTACCCCTGCAGCAGCTGCCGCTGTAGGCTGCGGCTTGCTGGCAGGGGCCGGAGCTTGTGCTAAGCTTGCTGCTCTGCTGCTGCTGCTGCTCCTTGCTTCGCTGGGGCTGAGCGCACCGCTGCGGATGCTGTTGGTGCGCGACAGACAGATCGCAAGTACAGCATCCGGCCCTGCTGCTGCTGCTGCTGCTGCGTCACTTGCCACAGTGACCCCAGCTGGCCTATTGCTGCTGCTGCTGCTACTGCTGTGCTGCTGACCCTGATCTGGGAAGCAGCACCAGCTTGCACCAGGAGGGGCAGCTGGTAGTGACAGCAGCGGCCGCTGCGCTGCAGCATGTCGCGCCAGCGCTACCGCTGCTGCTGCAGGCTCCACTTGCAGGCCCAGCCGCTGCAGCAGCGGCAGGTGCTCTGCTACTGCTGCCTGCCAGTACGCCACATCCATCGCCCTCACTAAACTACCGCCTCTCCAGCTGCCAACACCCCCTGGATCCTGTGCGTCTAGCACCTGCTGCTGCTGCTGCTGTTGTACTGCCTGAGGAGGGGTAGTAGTTGTACTGCCTGGTGCCAGTTGTAGTGCCAGTACCGCCGCCGCCAGCCTGGCATGCCACATCAGCCCCAGCAGTACACCTAAAACCCCAGGCCCTGCCCCGCAGGGATCACCCAGCACATCTGCAACAGATAAGGCCTCTGCAGCGGCCCAAGGCAGCCCTGCCACCTCAGCGCAGCGCGCAACATGCAGTGAGAGCTTGCTGAGGGCTGTGATAAGGCTCCCAGTGACAGCGCGGCCCTCAATTTGAGTGAGGCCGCATGTGAGGACCCAGTGCAGGGCCAGAGGCAGCTGCCCGAGCACTGCAGGACTCTGCTGGTGGTGCGCTGGCCGCGAATGGTGCTGCTGCTGCTGCTGCTGCTGCTGCTGCTTGGAGGTGGCTGGCTGTGCAGATGCCTCGGCTGCTGCTGCTGTTGCCGCTGCTGCTGCTGCATCCATTGTAGAGGAAGGAATTGCCGCCAGCCCTTGCTGCTGCAGCTGCTGCTGCTGCTCAAAGGGTCGAGCCACATCATCCCCAACTTCCTCAATGCTGAAGCCTGCTGCTCCCGCTGTCAATCTTGACAGCAGCACGCTCACTGCACCGCCGCCGTCGCGGCCGCGCACCCACGCACACAGCGCAGCAGCAGCAGGGTCTGCATCTGCCTCTGCCAGCAGCAGCAACTCCTCATCGACTAGCCGCCGCTGCAGCACACCACCAGTAGCACTCGCTGCTGCTGCTGCCGGTGTGGCTGCTGCTGCTGCTGCTGAGTCCAGCAGGCGAGCCACTAGAAGGGCCAGCTGGGGGTCTGCTGCTTCCCTTGCCAGCACTGACACAGCATCCCAGCCGCTGCCGGCAAGCACGAAGAAGGCTGCAGCAGCAGCAGCAGCAGTGACGGGCGCAGTGGAAACAGGTCAGCTATGCAAGTACAAAAAACAGGCAGAATTACTCCAGTATGCCTACATGTGCAGAGGTGCAGTTGCTGGCACAACTAGACCAGCATTCACACAACAGGAGAGCAGGTGCCCTGTCCTAGCAGGCCCTACCCAGGCTCGAACTGGGGCTACTGGATTCAGAGTCCAGTGTGATCACCACTACACTATAGAGCCAACTCCAATCTGCACCCAGCCAGGTTCGAACTGACGGCCTTCCGTGTGTTGGACAGATGTGATGACCAACTACACCATGAGTGCTGGTGCTGCTGCTGCTGCTGCAGATGTTCTGCATCTGCGACTGGGGATCGAACAGACACACAGCACAACTGTGCCTGCGGCCAGGCTGTAGCGGTAGGGTGATGGCTTGCCCACCCCTGTAACCGGCCTCTCTCTGTAGCGGTGCTGCACCAGTGACGCATCACACGCCACAGCACAGCACACCACACCACAACCACACTCGACCAGCAGCACATCAACCCCCTCCACCCCACCCCACCTGCGGCCAGGCTGTAACGGCGCTGCCCCAGCAGGCAGAAGACGCACACTGCAGCACAGCACACCACAGCACAGCCACACCACAGCCGCACCGCACATCATTTCCGAGGCCCTCAGCGCACCTGCGGCCAGGCTGTAGCGGTGCTGGCCCAGCAGGTGCAAGGCGCGCACTGCAGCACAGCACAGCACACCACAGCCACACCACAGCCGTGCAGCACACGCAGCTAGCACACATGCGACCAGGCTGTATCGGTGCTGAAGCAGCAGGTACAAGACGCACGAATCACACCACAGCCACACTGCAGTCGTGGTAATACAAACCAGCCAGCGCGCGCACCTGCCGCCAGGCTGTAGCGGTGCTGCCCCAGCAGGTGGAAGGCGTTTTTGCTGGCGGCCGCCCTGCCCTCAGCACTGCTGAAGTCACGCGCCAAAAAGTCCGCCACCTGCGCCACAGCACAGCACGGCACAGCACAGCACAGCATAGCAGGCTTGGTGTAAACAGGCTCACCGGGAAGTCTGCCAAATGCGGCGTAGCACAGCAGGGGCCAGGCCAGCACAGCACAGGCCCGCACATCACATCACGGCACATGCCAGCACAGCAAGAGAGACGCCGTTGAAGGATGGCAGAGGCTCACTGGTGTTGGAAGCTTTGATGGTGCAAAGCAGGGTACAAGCCAGCAGAGCATAGTGCAGCACGGCGCAGTTCACAACAGTGCAGCACGGCGCAGTTCACAACAGCACGGCACAGCAGGCTGATATGTGGGGCAGCGCGGGGAGCGAGCAGCAGGTGGCGCCTGTGGCGCCATCGGTTCAGCAGAATCTGACATCAGCAACACCGCTTCTGTTGAAACGGACCACCAGACCACCATCTCTACCAGCAGCAGCAGCAGCGGCAACAGCAGCAGCAGTGCCGCACCTTCTTGTTGCCGCTGCTCCTGAACAGCCCCTGCAGCACCGCCTTCTTCCCTAGCGCCGCATACAGCAGCGCAGGCTCGTGCGCGTCCTTTGTTGCTGCGAACTGTGCTGTTGCCAGCGCATCAGCTGTGGCTCGCAGCGCTGACTGCTGCGTGAGCCAGAAGCCCGCGCCCAGGGCGCGCAGCTTGGGCCAGGTGAGGGCTGCAGGCAGACACACAAGAAAGGGGAAGATGAGCATAATGAGTCAGCACAGCACATCGCTACACAGTTTGGCAGGGCGTGTAGCTTGGGCCAGGTCAGCGCTGCAGGCGGTGAAAAAAGGAGGACGAAGGGCAGGAAGAGCATGTTAGGGTGGGCACTAGGTCAGCACGGCAGCGCTGACTGCTGCGTGAGCCAGAAGCCCGCGCCCAGGGCGCGCAGCTTGGGCCAGGTGAGGGCTGCAAGCAGATCCAGAGAGGGAGAAAAGAGAGTGAGAGGGAGGCAGCAGAGGTGCGGCCATACGGTCAACGCTAGAGCCCAAAGCGCGCAGCTTGGGCCAGGTGAGGGCTGCAGGCAGATCGATCGAGAGAATGAGAAAAGAGAGTGAGAGAGCGGCAGCAGAGTTGCGGCCATACGGTCAACGCTAGGGCCCAGGGCACGCAGCTTGGGCCAGATGAGGGCTGCAGGCGGTGAAAAAAAGAACAGAGTGCAGAAAGAGAGGCACGATAATGCAGCCAGAAGCTCAGCAGTGCATATGACCGAAGAAGTGGTGGAGTGCGCTGGCAGGCTGGCAGGCTGGCATGTCAGCCCTGCAGGTGGCGTTGTTCCTTGTGCATGATAGGCTTGCAGACTGTCCAGCCGAGGCGAGGCAAGGGCCTGACTCAGCTAAGTTCTGGTCAAGATAGACAAAGAGATAGACATGCATGTTGGGATGCAGCACACTACCAGCAAGTTACCAGAAGACCGATGCACAGCATCCACAATTAGCGTGGCAGCAAACATGCAGGGCATGTGATGTAATACAACCAACGTGTCTGCGGCACTCTTGCCTCAGCACGGCACTCACCGTGCTGCTGCGCACGCCCCTGCGCTGCAAAGCTGCCGCCAGCAGCAGCCCCTCCTGCTGCACCACCACTGCTGCTGCCGCCAGACCCCTGCTGCTGCTGCTGCTGCTGCTGCTGCTGCTGCATGTGTTGCTCTACTGCATCAGGCACCAGAGGCAGCAGCGTATCAAGCAGCGCTCCCTGGCTGCTGCTGGCTGCTGCCCACAAGCAATGCAGCGGCGTCACTCCAGGCAGGAGCCCCACAAAAGTGGCCCAGCTGCTGCAGCTAGCAGCCCGCGCTGCAGCAGCAGCCTCAGAAGCAGCTGATGCACCCCCGATGTCTTTCAGCGAAGAGAAAGATAGCATCGACGCAATCGACATGCTGCTGCGCATCGCCACAGTTGCGAGACCCCTACTGCTGCTGCTGCGGCGGCTGCCAAATGCGCTGCTGCTCAGGCCCCTAGACACCAGAAGCCCAGCTGCACCACCAGCCTGCAGCTGCTGCAGCCGGCCCGGCGACAGCGGCGGCGTGGCCCTGCTGCCGCTGCTGCTGCCCCGGCCATCTGCCGCAGCAGCTGCTGCAGCTGCAGCAGCAGATGATGGCGGAACGGGAGCAGCAGGATAGTGTGCAAGCAGCGCCGCGCCCCTGCTGCTACCTGCCGCTGCGCTGCGGCTAACACTGACCGGTTGGAAGAGCCGTATCACAGCAGCAGCAAAGCGCTTGTCGTGCTCGTCCCTTGCTGTCACTCCTGCGGCAGCTGTTGCTGCGCCGCTGCTGCCAGCTGCGGCTGCTGCTGCTAGCTGCAGCAGCGCTAGCCGCGCATTGACTGCAAAAAGCCGGCCAGCTGCATCCAGCTGCTGAAACAGCACACTACCATAAGCAGGATCATTTGCCGCAAGCAATGACAGCGGTACTGCCTTTGTACCGCCTGTGCCAGCCAAAGTACCGCTGCTAGAAGCAGCAGAAAAGCGTCTACTGCTGAGACCTAACCCGCCACTCTCTGCAGACCCCAGACCACCGCCAGATGCCCAGGTGGCTGCCAGGGCTGCTGCACTGGCCGGGCCGCCGGCACCTGTTATAAAGCTGTTAAAACTGTTACTTCCGGCACCATCCTCGTCATCTGCTGCCTCTCCATCTTCACCCATGAAGGTGCGGGTGCACAGTGCAGCAGCAATGTGGCAGAGCCGCTGTGCTTGCTGAACACTCAATCCCAACTGACTCAGCAATTGCACATCCCCAGCTTGGCCTGCCTGCGCTTCCGCTGCTGCTGCTGCTGCCGCATCATTCGCGCTGCTGTCCTGCCGGGCATATCTGCTGCTGCTGCTGCCGCCCCTGTAGCCGTCTTTGTCTGCTTCAGCAGCTCCAGCTGCACCCAGCAGCCTCGCAAAATAAGCAGTAGACGCGGCAGCATCCTTCGTTGCATCGCTGCTGCTGCTGCTGCTCTTGGTGGCAGCTATGCCTAGCAGCCGATGCAGCTCCCGGACCTCTGCACGGCTCAACAGCTGCTTCTTGGCTGCTGCTGCTGCTGCTGCTACTCCACCGCCTTGCCCTGCTGCTGCTGCTGCTGCAGGCAGCTTTTTGGCTGGGGGTGGTGGCTTTGGGAAGACTGCAGTGGCCTTTGCAAGCATGCGAGGGTCGCAGTTATGCACTTGCGATGCATCGAATGTCAGTGCAGCTGCTGCTGTTGTAACAGCAGCTCCTGCTGGCCCTGCTGTTGCTGCTGCTGTTGGCTCTTGCGGAGCCTGGTGGTCTGGCTCCTGCTGCTGCTGCTGCTGCTGTTGGGTATGCTGCATATCCTGCACTGCTGCTGCTGCTGCGGGAGCAGGTGTATCCCAGTCATCATCGTCAGCACCGGCACCAAACCCAAAACCACCAAAGGCTGACATGTCAAGCATGCCTGTTTCCATGGCAGACACTGCAGCTGCTGGTGGAGGTACCGCTGCTCCTGCTGCTGCTGCTGCTGCTGCTGTGCTTGTTGGCTCTGCTGCAGTAACCTGCTGCTGCTGCTGCTGTTGCGGCTCCTGTTGCGGCTCCGTCTGCTGGCTCGCTGCTGGTGTGTCCCAATCATCATCGTCACCAGCTCCAGCACCAAACCCAAAGCCGCCAAATGCTGACATATCCAGCATGCCAGTGTCCATTGCAGACACCGCAGCAGCTGCTGGTGGAGGTACCACTGCTGCTGCTGTACTTGTTGGCTCGGCTGCAGTAACCTGCAGCTGCTGCTGCTGCTGCTGCTGTTGTTGCGGCTGCTGTTGCGGCTCGGTCTGCTGGCTCGCTGCTGGTGTGTCCCAATCATTGTCATCACCAGCTCCAGCACCAAACCCGAAGCCGCCAAAAGCTGACATATCCAGCATGCCAGTGTCCATGGCAGACATAGCACTGGGAGCCTGAGATGCTGCTGCTGGCTGTGCAGTTTCCTGCTGCTGCTGCTGCTGCTGCTGCTGCTGCTGTGCTGGAGCTGCGTCCCAATCATCATCATCAGCAGCAGCGCCACCAAACCCAGCAAAGTCCCCAAAGGCAGCCATGTCAAGCATGCCAGTATCCAGAGCACCAGCACCACCAGCTGCTGCTGCTGCCGATGATGATGATGATGCAGCAGCAGCAGCAGGGGCTGCTAGTTTGCTGCGCCCTTGAGCACCTGGCTCGGGTGTGCCAGGCGCCAAGGTGCTGCTGCTGCTGCCGCCAGCATCACCTGCACCAGCAGCAGCCTGCTGCTGCTGCTGCTGCTGCTGGCCATCAGGTGCAGGCATTGCTGACGGCTGCTGCCAGCCAGCAGCAGCAGCGGCTGATGCATTGGCCGGGAGGCTGTAGCCGAGTGCTGCTGC